GCGCCTATTTCCAATAGACCCAGTTTCACTCGATTTTTTCCGAGTTTCGTGCATCACTGTGCCAAAGCCCTACTGTGGCTCGGGTTCGGTTAAATTTCGCTAGCACCGTCTCGATATGTGCGAGTATGCTTCTGATTCGAGAGATATTATGGGCAAATTGAACTAGCGATCACAAATTGACCCCCCGAATTATTTACGAATGCCACGAGTTTTGACGATTTTCAACAATTACACGGCCCAAATCGGACTTACGGTGCAATGTTTGCCTTCCATCAAAAAGCTTCAGCTTCAACTTCAATTTTCATTTACTTTTCAAGTAAACAATTTATAGTGACTAGTGTTTATCGAGTCTATCGATTACACACACCATTGCAGATTGCAAGTAATAGAACATTCTATTTGTTTCTGTCAATAAAGTAACGAATCGTCTGCTATGGCAATCGCGTCTTTATCGTAAAAATTTAGCTTTAATTGTACTGTCGATAAGAAAAGATAATCCATATAATTGTGTGAATTTGTATGCATGAGTTTAAGAATTCAAATTAACAAGAAATAGTTAATACTCCGAGCTTAAAAAATGCTATTGCCGCTCTGAATTTGTTTATAGGCTTTTTGATATCAAATAAATTCACCGAAATCGATTACGCCCTTAATAAATTTTTTCTTCTTTTAACTTTTTTTTGCGTTGCCGTTCGTAATGACAAAAATAATTTATAATTGTAATTTAATCATTATTTTATTTTTCAAACAATGCAATCCTAAAGAACCGGCGTGTGAATTATGATAGAGTTTTATAATTATAAAAAATTAAAGGATTTTATGTTGTTAATTGTGATTGTGGGAGAAAAGGATTGTACATAGGCAGGTATCGACGGGGTTTGGTTGGAATGGAGAGGATTTGGCGTGAAAACTTTGAAGATTCCGTGTCTCCGTGGAGAGCAAAGTTACCCACCTCTCATACAATAATAGAACTTTTTCTCAAGTATTAATTAATTGAAATAAATAGACATATTTTAATTCTTTATATAATAATACTATTATAATTATACTATATAACGTATATAGCAATATAAGATTAGTAATGGTTGACCATTCAATTGCAGAGAATAATGAACTCGCGTTTAATACAATTGAAATAAAATTTAACTTCGCAATGTACATTAATAATAATAATAATTTATTATTTTAATACTATAGCACTTTATAATGAATTATTATTAAGCCAATTAGGCAGATGATACGATTACGTTGTACTAATGTTAAAGCGTCGTTTAAATATTCACTGGTTTGGCATATTTAATCAATCTACAAATTAATATCTTGTAAATTGTAGTCTATTTCGAGAATATATTTAGAATAGAAGCTGTCGAGGTCGAGAAAAAGTGACTTGCAACAATTAAGCAATTAAGTAATAAATTAGGGTTAAAAGATAATTTTGATTGATCTTTGTCGACGTAATTCCGTTTTTTTTTTGTTTTTTTTTTTTGTTAAATATTTTCAACGAATGGCAAAATACCCCTGTTGATACGAATAAAATTTATGAAATAGCTCTTACATATATTTTAAGATGCGTTAAAGGAATATCGATGATATGCGCGCGCTAACGTCACTTCAAATCCCATTGTAATTTTCACAATTATCGAATAGTATTACGAAATAGCTACATTTGCTAAAAATACAGCGATAATCGATGGATACGAGTAAGCGCCACGACCATGATTAGATATTTTAAATTAGCCATGATGCATTCTCAAAGCCAAAAAGCGACGGTGTACGACGTAAACAGTAACTCGATTTATCTATCTCCAGCCGATTATTATCTATCTCTCTTCTTACATTGAATAAATTTCGTTCATTTACATTAGACGTATTATTTTAGCTACGCGACTCAAGGTATCACATAAATTATCCTTTATATTTTCTTCCACGTCGACTAACGAGAAATTCAAATGAAAATAATAAAACAATTAATAAATCTATTAATAAAATAAACGGAATCATAATAATACTGAATAATAATAATATTATAATAATATCGGTAAAAAAAAAAAGGAAAAAGAAAAGTTTTTCATAAGTCAAAACGTGGCCGTAGAGAGCTGGCTCACAAGCTTACACATCGAGACAGCCCGAGCTTTCATTTATTCGGAGTGGTTAAATTAATAAAGCACCGAAGCTTGAATAACCAATGGAATAGCACAAAATCCATTTTTCTCGCTCGATCGAAATCCATTATTAAAGAGTACTATTCCGTCCATCGGCAACACACGATCGACCACTACAATTACCAACAATACAAAAACAATGAAAAGAAGAAGAAGAAGGAAACGTCGATAGCACGAAGGTGGCCTCGACATGGTGGTGGCGATGATAAAGGTAATCAATCGTTCGTGCGCTTAAGAATTCTGACCACAACCGTTCAACGATCACCTACCCAACTCCACAACAGCTTTTCCAGGTGGCTACCGTCGCTTTCGCCGTCGCTCCCGTTTAAAAGTTGACTCGCGGGGTGAGACAGAAGCCCCCCCCCCCTCCGTCGTAGAAGCAACGGACCCTGCGTAACCGATAATAAGTCTCGATGGATGCTCGTTGCTCCGAGTGGTGGGGATCAGCCTCGATGCTACCCCTCCTCTCTTCCGTCTACTTTGTGCTCGATTGAGGATCATAGCTCCCGTCAGGAATCGCAGCCTTCGGGAATGGCGAGCGATCGAAAAAAAAGTCCCATCTGTACTAAATTTTATCGCGGCCAATGTGCGCCGAGACACGAGTAATGACGCGATTAGTCCCACCGTACCCGACTCTGACACCGTCACATACAAATACTCCTCAGGCTTGTCTTACCAAATTGGCCATCAACGGTATCATCATCATCATTATTATTACTTTCGTCATCGTCATCGTCGTCGTCGTCGTTATTATTATCATTGTTATTGTTATTGTTGTTGTTGATGTTATCATTATTAATCAGAGGAGACGAAAATGGTGCTCGACTCTTGTCTCGAAATGTTTATTTTACGCGCGAGAGACAAGACACACTTTGATCGCGCGAACGATTTGCCGATTATTAAAGTTTTATCTTGGATATGTATGATGCGCTGTAAGAGCTTCGGGAATTAAGTTGTCTATAAGGCAATAATTGGAGTATCAGGACGAGATTGCTCGACGGGTGAATTATTATTGAAAGTTCTGGCTCCGCGGATCATTTCTAGATCTCGCGAGTAGACTCCGTTGATGGATTATCGTTATAGAGTGAGAAGGATCGATCGATGCTACGTGCTCTTTGGCCCATCAAGAAAAGTTAACTTTTCTTTATAAACATTTGGTTTTATCATAAAGCAGTTGCTTTATTGACCAAGCGCATTACTTTTGGGCACTAAACATAAACATGGAATTACAAAAGTAAAGACGCGAGCCAATTTGTATTGTTGCGGCTGTGAGTGTCATGGCGGGGCATACGATATTATGATATAAAGAGAGTGACATTATTTAAAAGAGTGAATTGTTTCGTGTTGCCGGGCTCTCGTCGACCATATCCGCCGCATTGAAATAACGATTTTGTCGATTCGAGGTAAATTGGATCTTACTATTTCCAACAAATTATTTGTCGGCTAGAGTGATGCGTGGCGTCATGACAGCGTCGAGACAGCGAGTCGAGCCACTATCGGGCAAAAGTATTTTTATTCTCTTTAAGATGATGAGTTCTCTCCCTTTCACCTTCGCTCAATCATCCATCCGAAGTATTCGAAATATTCGACGGAAAAATTATGACGGGGCTAGATTGAAAATATGACATTAATTATGGAGTGTACGAGAGGATGGATCACGAAATGGCATTTTCCCTTACGCGTTACGGTTTTACGAAGATAAATCAAAGGAAAAGCTATAAAGATTGATCTCTACTAATAGCGCGGACAGTCTTAACATCAATTTTCTAATAAAAGCATCGATTGCCATTGTTTCACCGAGCGGTCGTTTCACGCACATCTAGACACATTTTCAAAAGGCTGAAATTTGACTGAATTGAAAATTTTTTTCTCTTGCTAGACCACTTTCACGGCAACGAGGCGCATTGCACATTAAGCTTATGGGCGCTATAAACCACGAATGATTGTAAATTAGAGGTAGATGGTGGAAGCGCGTAATAAAAGATCGTTAAAGTTGATGGAGAGGGAGAATTGGTGGGGTGAGGGGAATAACGAAAGAAAGACATACATTCTTTACGCTCTAAAGTGTACGCTATGTTGTCGTGACGGGTATGTAAGCAAATAACGATTAGATGCCTTCGACGATTACGCGATAATGTGTCAAGTTGGGTTTGGGAAAGTCACGCGACATTCAACCATTAAAAAACTCCATTGACTCATGATGAACATATCTTCTTCATAAATCAAACAATTTTGCAAACCGAGGAGAAAATGTGCTTCGCGATAACCTCTATAAGAGCCGTGATTGATTAATAAATAATCTCGTTGCTTAGTGACACAACTGGACGCAAGACTTTATTTTGGTGACTATTTTTGTTCGATGGGAGAAAAAAAAATAGAAATGTGTCGTCTATTGAATGAGTGAATAGATAGATGGTGATCTCGAGTTTAAATTATTAACAATGTTATGCGGGAAGGGTAGGCAAGATAGATGTTCGCACGACGCGCGACACTTGGTCGAGCTTTCTAAACTCGCGCCTCAATAATAGATTAATGGCAGTGGCTGGGGCAGGGGGAGAGAAAGCAAAGCCAGCGCGAGCGTTTGTGGATTGTGAGCCGCTCTGTTGAGTACGTAGGCGTAAACAACGCTGGAAGCGAGTTCGAGTCGCGCGAGCTTGGCTGACCTAGAAAATGTCACATAGAGCTCGACACAGCGCGCGCCGTTTGCTAAACGCCAACAAACCAAATTTCCTCTCTCTTTCTCCTCTGCCCGCCAGCGCAAAACCACCGGTCGGTCGACAGCGAGTCGGTGTCATCTCGTAGCCGCCGTGGTTGGTATGACCAGGCGAGACTACTTACCGTTTCGACTGGAGTAGTCCCATTCCCAAAAGCCGGCCATCGCGGGGGAGGCTTATCGGAAATTGAGGTCCGAGAAGTTGAGATCCGAGTAGAGCTTGCTCCCGCTCGTTTTGCCCACCTCCGCTACACTTTGCCGGGGATCCAGACGGCTATGCTCCCGTGCGTTACTCGTCCGGACCTGGTAGATCGGATGGAAACGAACGGCGACGCGCTCCAGACAGGAAGGACCTGACGGCGGCGACTGCGGCGACGGCTTAATCACACTGGGAGAGGAGAGGGGAGGTACGCGCGATCCGATACTCACTGGGACTAGGGCGGGTAAGTACTCGCTGATCGAGTAGATCCTGGAAGACGGATGAAGGAGAAGCAGCACACCCCGAGAGCGATAACGATGCACCAATGAGTGATTAATTAACGTACGGCTGTTGAACAAAAGACGACGAGAGGAGGGGAGGAGGAGGGCACGCGCGAACGACCGTTACAACGAGCCGAATGTCAAATGCGTTATGAGACCGGCCGGTTGTTCCGCTGATATTTATAGTTAGGTGGAGCGTCGGTCACGTGACGCCGCTTGTGCCGGGCTCCATCGCGCATGCGCACGTAAATATTTACACGCCCGCTATCTCGCTTCTGGT